GAGAAAAACTCTCATATTTTCAACAATCAAAACAAGTCTTAGTTTTACATCATAAGATAACCCCTTATATAAGGAGGCACTAGTTCAAGAGATAAAACCCTAAACCTCACTAAATCTAAATCATACAAAATGAAAGGCTAGGATTAATTACGAGACAATAACTAAATAAATACAACCTAGTTGCATCTCATATACGAGGAAAATCATCTAAAATAATTCAAATCGATCTCAAATATTTCCGGTCTTGATTAAGTCAACATTGCTCGAATATCGCCAAAAATAGTGTCGATGCTCTCGCATCAAATCCTTCCCCTTCAAAAGGAATTGTCCTCAATTCCTAGAGGTAATATCACGTCGACATGATCAAATCGATGGTGGTGCCGTTTATTGTAAACAAAATAAAACTCACTTGTTACCGATTAAGAATTGTCATTATCGAATCTCCCGGATCAAACACCCAAACAACAATTCCCAGAGTACAATAATATAGAATCAAGGAGTATATCACCCATGCAAATACACAATTAAAATGTCCAAGCCTACTTCTCCACTCTTCAAAAATGAAATCACCATTCTTAATTAAACCCAACATAGAAATGAATTCATATGTCCTCTTGTTAATACTCGCTCCCACATTTGTAATATCAATAACTATATACTAAAAGACACACCAGCAATGACACGTGTCATTTTCTGGTGTGTCCAAAAAAAAAACCTATTTAGGAAACAAATCTTATATATAAATAGAAGATTAAAAAAAATTTAATGTATCCTTGCACTATATATATTGATACCATAAGCTAAAGTTACAAAAATGAAAATCAAATTCTTAACATAATTTGTGACATACATAGTGCTATATACTGCTCTTACCATTTTTAAAACAAGGATTATTTATTTTTTTAAATATTGGTTTATTTAGTTATGTTTGAAAAGCTTGCTAGGAAAGATATGAATTTTTTTCTAAGCCAGTTGATTATTGAGAAGAAAAATAAATACCGCGTAAGAGGGAATGGATTAATAGTGTGTAAAAAGTAAATCTATTTACGAATTAGATACATAGTTGTAAGATTTTCATTTGGTTAAAAGAAGAAATGATATAAATTTGTTAGTGAAATATAGATAAATATACATATATGTGTATTTTATATTATCTATTTTGCTAATAATAGCCTCTTTCATAATTAATTCATTTTACAAAATAGTAACTTAAATAGATTTTTTTTTTTATAATTAAATATAATATTAATAATTATAGAGTAGTTATTGAAAATTACCGTACATGGTACAGGAGCTAATCTAGTAGATCAAATAAGAGATGGCACATGAGATGAAACGCAAGATAACACTTGAGAGGGAACTACGAAATCAATTTCTTCACCAAAGATCGGGGGTCCAACAAAATCAATTTGGTCATCAAAGCTAGAAACAAGATCGTCCCTTTCTATAAAGAGCTCCATTCCCATTGTCCAATAACTCATATGAATAACTTCCAACCTCAAATAATGACAATAATAATAATATCTCTAATTTCAGTCAAAATTAAACAAAATGTCACACCCTGTTCTATCCCGAATGAAATTAAGATGACCCGAAATAATAATAAATTAGCAAATCCTTCATAAAAAAACTCACAAAATAACCAGCAAGACAAAAAAAAAATCCAATTTCTTAATAAATCCAGAATAAATGTCAAAATTAAGCACGGTTACCAAACTGTCCTGTCAGTTTCTCGGAGCGCCCGCTTCTACGATTGAAGCGTCCGCTCCTCACTACAGAGTGCTCGAAACTGCTGTTTACACTAAAACTGGTAGCGACCTGATTTTCAGACTATCAACAATCATTCGTTGCTGGTGGCAGAGCAACGAACAAGGGCGTTGTAGTCGGCCTTGAGGGCGGCGCTTGAACACTACTAATCTGGGCTTGCTCGAAAATGGAAGAATGGGTTCAAGTTTTTAGCGGGTCTTCAAATTTTCTGGGCAAAAATCTAAAAAGGGTGGTGTTTTTGACGGTGGAATCTCGACGGAAAAAACAACGGAGGTGGCAACTTGATTCAAAAATGGAGTGGTGACGTCGGTTATTGTGGGGGAAAAGTATTAGAGCATACCACCTATGTGCTTAGAAAGTGTATAGGATAACACTGATTTTCTAGTGGTACAATTTAAAATACAAAACGTACATACCACTTTGATTAAATGTACCAATGTGATTTCAGTGGTACATTTTCAGAGTATTAAATGTACCACTAGCACAGTTAAGTGGAATATTCTAGTTTTCTAATGCCCGGTAAACTACGCTTCTGCCCTCCTATACACTTCGTTTGTCAATAGGTGCTATGCGTTGATATACACTCTATTGTAGGTATTGAAAGAAATGTCCGTCGATCAAGTGTAATTACTAATTGTAATTAGGACAAATATGGAGATTAATTATAATCGGTTATTTTAGGTAATCATAATGTTTTGCTAGAAACCAACTATGATTTGTGAACTAATGCGATTAGTTTACTACTAATAATAATTCGGTCTTATGAGGTCACACATATGAGTATATGGTTGAATTAAGATGCATGAATAGGCCTTAAAGCCTAAAAGATGCGATTATGTGAAGAGTTGCGATAGTTTATTATAAATATGACTAAGTGACATAAATGAAATAATACATCTTTCATTAATCACAAAAAAAACTTCTCTCACATATAACCACCAGTAAAAGCAATAAGGAATTGTTCCTTGTTTCGTACTAGCATACGTGGAGATTCAACAATTACTCGTGGACCAATATTAGAGGAACGACAATTGACGTTCTAAAGATCTCTAATTGAAGAAAGAAGTGCCCTCTTGCTTTGTGGAAATCACGAATCAAGGGTATGATATTCTAATCTTATAATTCATATTATTATATGCATGAGATCCTGTTTTAGGTGCTAAGAAATTGTTTCTTGAAATTCCGCTAAGTGCATCTAATATGTTCCTACAGGTATTGACTTGCACCAAGAGAAAAAGAAATCAGGGAAGAAAAAATGATGATGATGATGATAGTATGATGATGAATTAGTGCGTGGTGTTAAAGGGGGACAACAGCAGCAAGAATCTCACACAAAGAAATTATGGGTTTCGATTTAACGAAGAACAAAATTCTGGGTTTTTTTATTTTTTATTTTTTTTTATCTAAAGGTTAATAACCTTTGGCTCTTGATACCATATGAAAATGAAGAACAACAATGATCTAATTGTGAGGAATTTTTGTGAATTTTTGAGGGCAAAGAAAATAAAGATATGATCTTGGATCAAGATCTAGGTGAACAAGCTAAAATAATCAAATATAAAGTAAAATTATCTAGCAAAATAACTTGATTCACTAGTCAGTTTGATAAAGATTGAGATTTTACGACAAAAGAGAGATCACAAAGAACTCAATGAAGAGAAAAACTCTCATATTTTCAATAATCAAAAAAGTTTTAGTTTTACATCATAATATAAACCCCTTATATAAGGAGGCACTAGTACAAGAGATAAAACCCTAAACCTCATTAAATCTAAATCATACAAAATGAAAGGCTAGGATTAATTACAAGATAATAACTAAATAAATACAACTTAAGTTGTATCCCACATACGAGTAAAATCATCTAAAATAATTCAAATCGATCTCAAATATTTCCTATCTTAATCAAGTCAACATTGCTCAAATATCGCTAAAAAGTGTGGATGCTCTCGCATCAGGGTGAGTGTGTGGTGGTTGGGCGGTGCTTATGAGGCTGGTGTTGGCAACTTGTATGTACTAGGTGGTGCTGCAAAGTGGTGGTGTTGTAGGGTGATTAATTATTAATCTATCCCCATTTTCTCTCTCCTTCCTTAATCAAATTCCCCTTTCTTATCTTAATCTCCATTTCTCATTTTTTTTTTCTTAGGAGTCCGTGTCGACTCTAAAGTTGCAAAAATTGTGAACCGAAGGTAGTAAAAATATAAAATAATGTGGAGTCTTGAATCATGTGGTCAACTTTAAGTCCAATTGGCCAATATTTAAACACTAGTTTAAGTCCCGTGCAATGCACGATTTTTACTTAATCTAATTATGAATTACTATGTTAATTTAACAATATTTTTTTTTTAAAAAAAACAATAATTTTAATTGAAACAAATACTTGAATTCTTTTTTTCTTTAAAAAAAAAAAACTAACTTGAATTTTATCTTATATTGATATCAAAAGTTACTCGTATTAATCATTAAACATTAAAAAAAACACAAATTTCATGATTATAGGATTTTATATAAGAATAAAATTTTATGTTATTTATAACCCGTGCAATGTACTTATATACTCTACATGTCCCTATTTTGTTGGCATGTTTTGACCGGCACAATATTTTATAGCATACTTTGACCTACACAAGTGTTTTGTACAAATTTGAGTGACTTATTTTTTGTGACATTTAATAATCAAAGTTTTTTTTTAATTTTTATTGTATATTTATAGTTATTGAATTGTAGTATTATTATTATAAATAATTCAACAAAAATGTAATAAAAGTTAAAATGTTAATCTTGGTTGGAGCAAAAATACATTCAAATGAAAAAATACGATGTAGAATGATACGTTGTATGAGAGTAGTACATTATTCTACTAATATTATCTTATATACATAGTATATGTTGTTTATTATAGAAAATACCTAGCTATTATAAAATATATGAAAAATATGTTAAAATATTTTCATTGAATGCATATAGAATATACTTGGAATTTACTTGACAAATTGAAAATTAGATATTATAGGATATATCAATTAATATGCATGAAGATTTGATAAACAAAAAAAAAAAAGTAAAAGTAGCGGAAATTTTTTTAATCAAAACATGACAAGTGTCATATCAAATTCGCTTTTAGTATTATGATATTGATAATCAACACCTAAATAAATGTAAAAACACCATATAATATAAAAATTGACCCAAAACTAGCAAAATAAAAAAAGCCAAACAAACATTCGGGCCGTATCCCAAAATCCGAAAATACTATAAACAAACAAATATCTGCTTTTACTTTTTCCACTGTACCCTTTCATTGGGAGTGTTCCAGTAAACGGTGGTAGTGGTGGTAGGTGCTGTTATTCTGGAAAAGCGTAATCACAATTCACAAATTCAAAAGAGAGAGAAACCTCAAACAATTTTAGAGAGAGAAAGCCATGGAAACTGTTGAGGAGTTCTTGAGCAAATGCAAACAATCTGGTGATGCAGCTTACAGTGCTCTTCGATCAGTCCTCGAAAAGCTTGAAAATCCTAAAACTAGAGTTGATGCTAGAATTTTTATGTCTAAGCTTCAGAAGCATTTTGATTCTGCTGCTGTTTCTTCTGATGATTGCTTCGCTACTTATCATTTCAAAATCAATGACATTCAATTGGAGCATTCTTCAGGTTTTTTTTTTTTTTTAATTTTTATTGTGAGTTTTGTTGATTTTATGCTGAGAACTATATGATTCTGAATTTTTTTTATTAATTTTATTAAATTATTAGGATAGATTGATTAATTTCACTCTGAAAATGTTATGGAAATTTGCAAATATGTTTTACATGGATCGAATTAGTATACGAATGAAATTCAGAACAATATGATGCTGATTCAGTTAAATAATTTAAGTAAATTGATTGAATGAACAAACGGATGGATGGTTGAATTAATGCATGGACAAATTCGGATCAATTTTGTGAAATAGAAGTAAGAAATGACACTTCAATTTTACTGAAAAGAAAAAAAAATTATAGATTTATGTATATTTTCATGTATATACTATAGTCTGTTAATAATATACGGAGTATAGAGTATACTTTTGTTAGTGTAATCATAAAAAGTTGGATTCCGTATCGCTATATTCTTACAAAGTTACAATGGAAGGATGATGTCATACCATTTGCGGATTAATTACGCTAAAGTATTATTTGCATATAGCTTTTCAAAATATTCTTCTTGAAAAGCTAAAGTGTTTTGTGTGAGGTGTGAGAACTTTTTTTGAAGTTATGTTTCCTATAATTTTTGTAATATAATTGAGGTTTCTAAATATGATAGTTTACTGTATAATATTATTATTCTGAGTATGATGACAGAAAAGTAAGGTCATAAACTCATAAATTAAGCCTCTAAGAATGCCAAAGGCCATAGAGATGGACTAAGTGAATGAGAAAACAATATTGAGCAACTTCATAGGAAAGCTATAATACTGTTGTATGTATTGCCAATTGATAACAGGAATGAATCTGACATTGATGTTTGAACTTCGTACTATGTATAATTATAACTAAGATAAAGAACTAAAATAGAGTGCTATTGGGACATGACAAATTGGAACTTCTGATGTGTGAAATGATAAGCCTAGATATAATGCTCCATTGATGTCTAAGAGAAGTGGTCTAGCTAACTTATACTCCGTACTAAGGCTCTGTTCGGTTCATTTGACTGAAATGTTATTTTATCTGAATTATCTGTGAACTTATATTATGTTGTTTTAGTTTTGAACTTGTATTATTTTGTATCAACTTGTATGAACTTCATTGTATTTAATTTGTCTGAACCTGAAATTGTGTCTGAATTATTTATGTCTAACTTATTTGTCTAAACTTATTATGTCTAACTTATTTCTGAAAAAAAGCTTATTTTGTCCGAACTTATTATGTCTAACTTATTTGTCTAAACTTATATTTCTTAAATAAGATAAAATAAGTTGAAACAAACAAACCCTATGGTTCTCTTGTATTTTTTTCTTCCTTTATAATTTCCTTCCTATCTCAGGTTTTCTGTCTATTCATGTGAACCAATAATATATATGACTGTCATGTATTCATCTGACAATTATTACTGTATTACTTTCTATAGTAACTGCAGTACTGTGGTGTAAGAATGTTGGAATACATTTTCAGCTTTCTTTTGCAGTTGGAAACTCTAGACTACCTTAGAAATAGAATGAAAACTGATATAAATAGTGATTGTTAAAACTGGTTCCTTCAGTACACAGCATTTTTAGCCAACCAATTTTATCATGTTTGACTTGGAGTTCATCATTTTTGTGCATTTGATCTTCAACATTGTTTTGTTGACTAAGCCACTTATGGTGGATTTTCAGGCTTCCCGCAGAGAAAAAAGTTGACAATGCTGGTAATTCCTAGCATTTTTATGCCAGAAGATTGGTCTTTCACGTTTTATGAAGGGTTGAATAGGCATCCAGAATCCATCTATAAGGACAAGATAGTGGCTGAGCTTGGTTGTGGGAATGGATGGATAACTATTGCTATTGCTGAAAAGTGGTCTCCTTCAAAGGTTCAATACACTTTCCTAGCATCATTTATTAATCTATCTTTACCAATGAACACAAATTGTTTTCTTCATGTAAAAAATTCTGGAATTTCAGCAATTTTATGGCTTTGATAGATTAAAGGAAAAATTATTCACATTACCTTTAATCTGTATTAGTTGAACTGAGTTCTTAAGTCAATTGTTAACAGGTGTATGGCCTTGATATAAATCCCAGAGCTGTAAAGGTTTCATGGATTAACCTATACTTGAATGCTTTGGATGAGAATGGTCAACCTATTTATGATGGAGAGAAGAAGACTCTATTGGATAGAGTAGAATTTCATGAATCTGACCTTCTAGCTTATTGTAAGGACCATAACATAATGCTTGAAAGGATTGTTGGCTGCATACCACAGGTAAAGTGGCATTAAAATCTGATTTTTTGGCCTTGAATTCCCAATAATATCAATGTGTCTCAATTTATACATTATATGGTTCTGGCTTTCATGATTAAATTTTGATTCAATGATGGTATCGGCCTGCAGATCCTTAATCCTAATCCAGATGCAATGACTAAGATGATTACAGAAAATGCAAGCGAAGAGTTCCTATACTCGCTCAGCAACTATTGTGCACTGCAGGTTAGAAAACTTTGATGATTATATTGCCATGTCATCCTAGGGGTTTAAGCTGTGTAGGTTTACTTTCTAATGCATGCTTGTGCTAAAGAAGCTAGACAAATGAGTCAAACAAAGTGCTGCAGCACACTCAATTATGGAATCAGGACAGTCTGGGCATATTCTTCTTCTTTTGTCAACCTGCATGGGATATCATAATATTTACTGGTTCCTCGTTCAAAGTATACACATATGTTATCCACATTGATTATTAATGAATTCGCCCCCTGTGGTGATGTGCTAAATGTTGGGGATAATACTAAAAATACAAGGGACACAAAGAAGAAATCGGAATTAAACAATAATAACCTTCGAGGCGTGAACGGAATCACTTTCCCAAAAGTAATATTTCGACCCTTAAACTACAACCCGGGTATCACGAAATCACTTAGGAGATACAACGAAGAACAATCACAATTATGTGTAGTATACTTATGATTCAATGTAAACTAGTATATTTATTTTGTGATGATGAACAATGACAAACACATGCAAATTGACTTTTTAATGAAGAGATAAAAATTTGATGATTCCCCATAACCCTTACGTTGAATATATATATGCAGCATGCAAAAAAGTGAATAACCATTATTCCAAAAGGTGTATTCCAAACGGTGCCATATAACCATTGTTCCAAAAGGTGTATTCCAAACGGTGCCATATAACCATTATTCCAAAAGGTGTATTCCAAACGGTGCCATATAACCATTATTCCAAAAGGTGTAAATTCAGCAGTTTATTTCATCAAGCAATGCAATACTCTAAATAACTCAACAATCCTCCCCCATTTCGAGTATTAAACTAGACTCAATGCAATACATCATCATCACAAAAACAATCTTATGCATACATGAAAGTGTACAAAGACTTGAACTTCCACTTAGTATAATACACATTCCAAGAATCAATATCCAATTGGGATCGTTAAACGTTTGAACCAATATCAATACATATTAGAAACTTGAAGATATTATACACATAAGATCTTATAACCTGAATACATTATATACTTGACACGTTAAGGCCATGTGTCCATATCTATTCATAAGTACATCAAAGTTATGCCCTAATAACTTCTTGAAGCGGCCAAACCTTGTACTTATATAGGTAGATTTTTATAAACATGCTCCTGTGACAAAGCACAATGTCAAAAAATCTATTAAGAAAAACAACCTCTTTTCATCACAGTAAAACTGGAACTTACCTAGGATGAATACAAGTTCCCAGTCACTCAATAAAGAAATTAATCTTATTGAACTTAAGACCCAAAGTCTTATTGGGCGTTAAGTTAAGATTTCCTTATTTGGAATTATTTAGGGCTCCAATCCTAAACCGATTGCCATCCTCTTATTAACATCTCTTGCCAATGCTTTTGTGAAGCAATCAGCGAGATTAAACTTCGTACGAACATAGTCAATAGTAATTATACTATCTTTGATAAGTCCTTGAATGTAACTATGTCTTACACCAATGTGCCTTGACTTACTATTATATACTTGACTATATGCCTTAGCCAAGGTTGCATTATTATCACAATGTATCACTATAGGTGACATTGGTTTTGCCAACAAAGGTATCTCAAACATGAGATCCTTCAACCATTCAGCTTCTTTACCGGCTAAATACAAAGCAATGAACTCCGATGTCATTGTGGAGTCCGCAATGCAAGTTTGCTTCTTTGATGCCCATGAGATAGCACCTCCCCCATATAGGAAAACCCAACCACTTGTGGAGGAATGATCTTTATTAGAGATCCAACTTGCATCCGAATATCCTTCTAGGGATATCCACTATAAGACAAACCATAATCCATGGTTTTCTTCAAAGTATTTCAACAAACGTCGAACTGCTTGCCAATGTAGCATACTAGGATTACTAGTATATCTACTTAGTTGAACAACTGCATAAGCAATATCCGGTCTAGTACTTGTCATGGCATATATCAAACAACCTATTACTCTTGCGTACTCTAGTTGTGAAACTGCATTACCTTCATTAGGTAATAATTTTACGCTAGGATCCATAGGCGTTGAATATAGAGAAAGAGAATTTTCACTTACATTGAACTTCTTGATCACTTTCTCAATATAATGAGATTGTGACAAGATCAACTTCCCTTTTTCCTCCTTTATTCTTATGCCCAAGATGACATCCGTCTCTCCCATGTCTTTCATGGAAAACTTTGAACTAAGGAATTCCTTTGTCATTTCAACTTGTGACATACTTGTTCCAAAGATCAACATGTCATTTACATATAGACAAATTATGACACCTTCACCGTTGTCATTAAATTTACTATATATACACTTATCTGAATTATTCAACTTGAATCCATTAGACAACACAACCTCATCAAACTTTTGATGCCATTGCTTAGGTGCTTGCTTAAGCCCATACAAAGATTTAATCAACTTGCAAACTTTTCGCTCTTGGCCTTCCACAACAAACCCTTCCGATTGTTGCATGTAAACCTCTTCTTCTAGATTTCCATTCAAGAACGCTGTCTTGACATCCATTTGATGGATCACAAGATTATAGATAGCCGCAAGAGCTATCAACAACCTTATAGTTGAGATTCTAGCAACAGGTGCATATGTATTGAAATAATCAATACCAGGCTTTTGTGTAAAACCTTGTGCCATTAACCAGGCTTTGAATTTTTCAACAGTTCCATCAATCCTCAATTTCTTTTTGAAGATCCATTTGCACCCTATTGGTTTACATTTAGGAGGTAAATCAGCTAATACCCAAGTATTGTTTCCCATGATGGAATCCATCTCATTATTAATTGCTTCCTTCCAAAATGGAGCATCATGAGACTTCATAGCCTCATCAAATGTTGAACGATCATCTTCCACATTAAAAATATAAGGAAATTGAGTCAAAACATTGTTTCTTGATCCCTCAATCAAGTACACATGAAAATGTGGGCCAAAAGATTTCTCTTTCCTAGCCCTCTTACTTCTCCTAGGTGGAGATGATGATGAAGATGCCTCCTCTAAATGAGCTTGGTCATCTTCCTCTTGATCAAATATAATTTGACTATCACCTTGAGCATTGGTATTTGGAGTAATATCCTTAGGTCTAGGAATTGATGAATATCTATTTTCATCAAACAATGCATCCCTTGACTCTATGGTGGTATGAACAGACCAAAAGTCATTTTGTTCTATCACATAAAACCTATAGGATTTGCTATGTTCCGCATATCCTATAAAAATGCATTCAACTCCTCTTTCACCTAACTTTTTACGTTTAGGTTCCGGCACTTTTAAAATTTCCCTACAACCCCAAACTTTGAGATGACTCAAGTTTGGTTTCCTTTTGTACCATAGCTCATATGGGGTAACCTCGTTCCTTTTCATAGGAACTCGGTTTAAAATGTAACAAGTTGTTAAAACCGCTTCTCCCCAAAATCCATCACTCAAACCCGAATAAGATAACATGGAATTAACCATTTCTTGTAAAGTCCTATTCTTCCTTTCCGCTACACCATTTTGTTGTGGTGTATATGCCGCGGTTGTTTCATGTACTAATCCTATAGATTGGAAATAACTTGGATTATAGTATTCACCTCCTTTATTGGTTCTTAACTTTTTAATCTTTTTATTTGTTTGCAACTCTACTTCATTTTTGTAGATTTTAAATTTGTTAAGGGCTTCATCCTTAGAAAACAATAAGTATACATAGCAAAATCTTGAAAAATCATCAATGAAAGTTACTAAATAATTCTTATTGTCTAAGGAAGGAGTGTTGTGAAAGTCACATAAATCACTATGCACTAAATCAAGCAATGAAATATCCCTTTTCTATATTGTTAGGAAATGGTTTCCTTGTAATTTTTGTTAGCATGCATGTTCTACACTTCTCTATCCTTGGATCAAATGATGGAATTAATTCATGCTTAGACATAAAGTAAAGCTTCTTATAATTAACATGTCCAAGTCTAAAATGCCATAGAGAAGAGTTATTACTTACAACATACACATTATCCCTAACATTATTACAAATACTTAATTTAAACATTCCATCATACAAATAACCAAATCCTACAAATATACCACCTTTAGACAAAATAAATTTATCCGACTCAAACACCATTTTAAATCCTAATCGATTCAAGATAGCACCGGATACAAGATTTCTCCTAAGCTTGGGAGCATACAACACATCTCTTAAAATAAGAGATTTGCCCGAACTAAAAATTAGTTCTACTTGTCCTTTGCCTAGCACCCTTGATGTGGAATCATTTCTCATGTATAGGATTTCTCCATCATCAACCTCCAAAAAGGTCTTGAACAATGAACGATCCTTGCATACATGCCTCGATGCTCCTGAATCGATGTACCATGAACAATTATCCTGCACACATAGGATTTCAGAAATCACACACATAATCCATAAATGAATTAAGTGAAATTTGTGTACAAGAGTTACCTTGCTTGTCTTGAGATTGGCTTGACTCGCCTTTCCCACTTTGAGTCCTTTTCTTGCTCATCTTTTTCTTCCAAATGGTATAATCGTTTTTAAAATGATCGGGTTTTCCACAAACCCAACAAGTACGTGATTTTTTACCATCACTATCACCCTTAGGCTTCTTGCCTTTATTATTGTTTGAGTCATTTCCTCTTTTCTTGTCATTTGACTTAGATTCCTCTACCATATTAATGATAGAACTAGGATTTTCATCCTTTTGTCCATCTTGAATTCGGATTCCCTCTTCAATCCGAATATGGAACCCAAATCTTCAACATTTATTTCATCCTTCCTATGCTTTAAAGTGTTTCTAAAGTCTTTCCAAGAAGGTGGCAATTTATTAATAATAGAAGATACAACAAAAGTCTCATCCATACTTATGTCATGTTGTTTAAAACTCCCTAAAATTCTTTGAATTTCATGAAATTGTTCCATAACCGGCCTACTATCAACCATTTTATATTATTGAAATTACTAACAAGAAAATTTTTGCTAAATGCATCCTCGGCCATATACTTAGATTCTAAATCATCCCAAAGAAGTTTAGCAGATTCATAAAATTGATAAACATCAAACAAGTCATCAGACATACCGTTAAGAATGTGTCCACGGCATATTTAGTCATCATTCTCCCACTTATTCCTCTTTCTAGTATTTTCTAATGTCTCATTTTCCTCTTCCAATGGCTTTGGGGTAGTGAGAACATATGCCACACCAAGAGAAGTCAAGAGAAAATGCATTTTCTTTTGCCATCTTCGAAAACCCACGCCCTCGAACTTGTCCAATTTCTGGAAATTTGATGTCAATTCCTTAACGGTAGCCATCTTTGCAAGAATATTACTTTTGGATTGTTGGGGATAATACTAAAAATACAAGGGACACAAAGAAGAAATCGGAATTAAACAATAATAACCTTCGAGGCGTGAACGGAATCACTTTCCCAAAAGTAATATTTCGACCCTTAAACTACAACCTGGGTATCACGAAATCACTTAGGAGACTCAATGAAGAACAATCACAATTATGTGTAGTATAATTGTGATTCAATGTAAACTAGTATATTTATTTTGTGATGATGAACAATGACAAACACATGCAAATTGACTTTTTAATGAAGAGATAAAAATCTGATGATCCCCCACAACCCTTACGTTGAATATATATATGCAGCATGCAAAAAAGTGAATAGCCATTATTCCAAAAGGTGTATTCCAAACGGTGCCATATAACCATTATTCGAAAAGGTGTATTCCAAACGGTGCCATATAACCATTATTCCAAAAGGTGTAAGTACAGTAGTTTATTTCATCAAGCAATGCAATACTCTAAATAACTCAACACTAAATGCTGATACTTAAGTGATAGTGAATTGTAGTGGTAATATATGAATGGATCGTTTACAAAGTTGTAACTAAAGAGAAAATTTTGTGTGAAGTTACAGTTTCTCCATAATGGTTGATAGAATTTTGAAGGAAATTTTCACTTATCCAAAATCTCTCTCACAGCATTAAATATACACGTGCTAGTTTTTTTTTTTTTTTTTTTTTTTTTTTTTTTTTTTTTTTTTTTTTTCCAAGATACTTTCCCTAAACAACAACAACAAAGCCTTAGTCCCAAAATGATTTATGTAACAAAATCAGAACTTATGACCTCAAGTATTAAAAAAAAAAAAAAAAATCTCCCCTATCAAACCACTTATCTTTGTAACAAATTCAGAAATTATAACCAGAAAATACTGTTTTAACCATGTATACATTTTCCTCCATTGATAAAGTCTGTGTCATTACCCAATTTGTTGCATTCTTTGTTTAGAAATGAGTATACACTGGGGCAACAGGATCTGGGTCTGGACTAAAGGTTTGATTCGACTAAATCAAATTGAAGGTGATCTTCAGGGTTGCATACTTTGTAGAATTATCTAGTTATAATCCATGGTGATGATGTCAAATAAATAGTTGGTTTCAGGTGACATTCAGTAGAATCATTTTTGAATCTTCATTTATTTTTCATTTATTTTCCTTTTACTTGCAACATTTTTCAACAGATTTCTGATAGGGTATGCAATTTATTTTTCCTTTGAATACTTGGAAAATGATTCTTCAGATGGTATGTTGACTTAATTTTCTCTCTTTTTTTTTTCTGTTCTGATTTCTGAATGTAGGGTTTTGTTGAAGATCAATTTGGCTTAGGTTTGATAGCTAGGGCAGTTGAAGAGGGAATATCAGTCATTAAACCCACTGGGATTATGATCTTTAATATGGGAGGCCGTCCAGGACAAGCTGTTTGCAGACGTTTATTTGAACGGCGTGGCTTCCGTGTTAATAAGATCTGGCAAACAAAAGTTATTCAGGCTAGTTAAACTGAATTGTTGTAAATTTTATTTTAATTTCTTGAACCGTGGATTTGACGAACTGTGTGTTACAGGCTGCTGACACAGATATTTCAGCGTTAGTTGAGATTGAAAAAAATAGCCCACACCGTTTTGAATTCTTCATGGGACGTACAGGAGATCGACCTCTTTGTGCTCGAACAGCTTGGGCATATGGGAAGGCCGGTGGTTGTATCTCTCATTCTATTTCTGTTTACAGCTGTCAACTTCGTCAACCTAATCAGGTGAAGCTCTTTTTCCCTTGTTTTTCGTGCATGATGATTATATTTGAAAGTATGACACATGCAATTTTGTGGGACAGGTTAAAACTATTTTTGATTTTTTGAGAGATGGCTTTAAAGAAATCAATAATTCTTTGGATTTATCCTTTGACGATGATGCTGTGGCTGATGAAAAGATTCCATTCCTGTCATATCTTGCAAGTGTTCTTAAAGAACATTCCTACCTTCCTTTTGAGTCACCAGCAGGTAGTAAACGGTTTCGAGACCTTGTAGCAGGGTTTATCAAAACATACCATCATGTTCCACTTACTTCCAAGGTACTAGTGGATAGATTTGGTGCATCTGTTTATACCGTACCTTTTTTTTTTTCCTGTAAATCCTTAGCTAATGTTTCATGTACCTAATAACGTATTGACTTGTATCTTTCTAGAATGGGATTTCTGATCAAAAGGATTTTATAATGTTTGTTGCTTCATTTTGCTAGTAGGTAAATTAAGAGAATAGCTTCAGTTGTGCAGCAATTGTACATTATCCTCCTATTATTGTTGAAGTCAGGAGTTACCTTGAACTTTCTCGTCTTCTTGTGGGTTGTTTAAATTTCCTTTGGAATTTCGGTTGCTGATGCTAATTGTGTTGTTTCCTCTAAATTTTCAGAATGTAGTTGTGTTTCCTTCAAGGACTGCAGCAATTGAGAACGCTTTACGATTGTTCTCACCAAACCTTGCCATTGTCGATGAGCATTTGACCCGAGACCTTCCTAGGCAATGGATGACATCATTGGCAATTGAGGTATACCCTATTTCTGATGACACTTCTGGTGACATTTGATATGCATTATAGTCTGCAAATGCTTTTGTATATTATTGTGTCTGTTCTTTGTTTCCTTTGTCCCTCTTTATTTGGGTGCTGGGGAGCCGGAAAGAGGCGTAACTCATGAGGAGGATAGTTAAAGGGCTCGCTTGTTATTTATTTTCTAGTATACAAACTAGTTGTACTCTCCAATGGCTGCTTCATATAATTTCAGAATGATTGAGACAGTTATCAACAGAGTGAGGTGAGACACAATGTTCACAAGGGTGAGCTAGTGATGTAATAAATGGCCAGATCTGACCAATTGTATGGCTCTTCAATATTTTTTTCATGAACATTTTGAAATTGAGTCATGTCTTTCAAGTTCCTTACTAAAGCTTTCCTTTGGTTTCTTTCCTTGGGTGTGTGTTCTCTCTTGGGTAATTGTGGGCCTTGTGTTGTGATGTTATCTTTGACTTTGATGTTCTATGCTTCATCAGGCTATACAGCATTTAGGTGTGAATAGAGTTCAATTTATTAGTAGACAAGAAACATTAACAAATATTTTTTTAATAAAGTTTACTAACCGGTGATGTTTACAAGTGTCACTATCATTTCCTTTGCTCATATGTCTTGTTTTGATTAAAGTAGTTTGGTTTGAGTTGTTTGTGTCTCAGTCTGATGTAATGATAAATTAATAGTTCCTAGCAGCATATTGGAAATTCCTTGAAAAAATTGTGACAAATTCTGAACCATGTTGTTTCTATGTTGCAGAAGAGAGATTGTAGTGAGGCTTCAGATATGGTTACAGTTATAGAGGCTCCACGTCAGTCTGATTTGATGGTTGAGCTGATTAAGAAGCTGAAACCTCAGGTTGTGGTTACTGGCATTGCTAGTTTTGAGGCTGTTACTAGTGCAGCCTTTGAGAATCTGTTGAATGTTACTAGAGAAATTGGCTCGCGTCTTTTCTTAGACATATCTGACCACTTTGAGCTGTCAAGCCTTCCGAGTTCCAACGGGGTCCTAAAGTATCTTGCAGGAAATTCTATTCCATCGCATGCTGCGATTGTATGTGGTCTTCTGAAGAATCAGGTATTTGTTACTCTCAATATGGAATGCCAGATTGGGTACCAATTATTTTCAAATCCAACCTATCTAGATCAATTTATTGGATAAGATATTCATATTTATATTTTGTTTTGTCATTTGAATTTGAGTAATTCTTTTGAACCCATTACCTCATACTTAATACTTCTCCAGGTTTATAAAGATCTTGAGGTAGCATTTGTGATTTCAGAAGATGAATCCATTTTTCGGGCTCTGGCAAGAACAGTTGAACTTCTTGAAGGAAATACTTCATTGATTAGTCAAAACTACTACGGCTGTCTTTTCAACGAGCTGCTTTCCTTTCAGCTAGCTGATCGACATCCACCTGCTATGGTTTGTCACTCTTGCCATTTAGTCCCATTCAAGTCCAAAATGTTTTTAGTCCAGTCTAAACCACACCACCATTTTATTGAAATAAGTTGAAGAGGTTGAACCTGTATGAATACTGACTAGACCCAGCCTGACAAGTAAACCATTGTAGCCTGTGGTCACCTCAACCTAAAACTAAATTTTTGACATTAAGGGCCCTTTCGGTAGCATTGTAGGTTTCAGTTTTTTGGTATTTTGTTTTTCAAAATTCTATGATATATGTCATACTTCCTCCATTCCACAAATTTTGCAACAATTACCATTTTAGGAAGTTTCACTAATATTGCAACATTTCCCTATTTGCACTTGTCTTCTTTCCTTCTCTCTCCTCATCACATAAGTCCATATCTATGTTCCTCTCCATCTCTCTCCTCTTCTTGAAATCCTTGTTCCCCCCAACCCATGTTGCAATTTTAGGAGAACGGAGGAAGTATAAAGAATCAAATGTTAGTCTGACTTGTGGAAATCATGGTTATTTAGAAAACTGACAACAGAAAAATGAAAGCTACTTTTTCTAGTTTCCAGTTTTATGTAAGGAAGAACCTCTTGACCTTATATCTGGCTCACCACAAAACAATACTTTAATTTTCTTAGAAGCAACACTTCTATTCACACCCTTGCCAATGCATAATTCAAGTTATTCAACCATAAATTTCTTCAATTACCAATAAGTAAAAATTATAGATTAATTGATATTTTGAGAGTATAAATTGAGATGAATCTAACAAGATCTCACATGACTATTTTTTTCTTAAATCATAAATTACCAAAAAAACAAGGTCAAAGTAAGGTGTGTAAATAATGTAAAATGAAACATTGCATTTAATAATAAACAGAGGTTGTATGTTATTGGCTATGTCAAGCTGGACCTGTCATAATTAACATAATTCTATACTAAGATGTAGGTTCACTGGATGTGTTTACTTATTATGTAAGTTTGATGTATCTGTTTCAGCGAGAATGTGATAAGAAGAGTACCACTAAATTGATTGCATTTGCAAGCTCTGCTGTCTCAGTCTTCAACAATTCTGAGCTGTCAATAAGTGAAGATGACAATAAGTCTTCCTTGATTCACATGGACGTAGATCAAAGCTTTCTGTCATTGCCCTCACCAGTAAAGGCTGCTATTTTTGAAAGTTTTGCTAGGCAGAATCTCTCAGAGTCTGAGACAGATGTAATCAATGGCATCAGGCAATTTATTAAGACCAGATATGGTTTTCCAACAAACAACAGCACAGAATTCTTGTACTCTGACTATTCTTTGGGTCTTTTTAACAAGCTGCTACTTAGCTGTATTCAAGAAAGTGGCACATTGTGCTTTCCTGCTGGTTGTAACGGGAACTACATAGCTGCTGCAAAGTTTATGAAAGCAAACATTGTTAACATTCCCACACAGGCGGATGTTGGATTTAAACTAACTGCTAGTGTACTGACCGAGGTGCTGGAGTCAGTTGAAAAGCCATGGCTTTATATTTCTGGTCCTACTATTAATCCAACGGGGTTGCTTTACAGCAATGAGGAGCTGGAAGATATACTATCAGTCTGTGTTAATTTTGGTGCAAGGGTTCTGATAGATACTTCTTTCTCAGGGCTAGAATATGATGTCGACAACTGGGATGCCTGGAACTTGGAGCCCACTTTATCGAAGTTCTATTCCTCTCACGATTTAACTTTTTGTGTGTCTTTGCTTGGAAGTTTATCGCTTGAGATGCTTGCTGGAGGGCTGACCTTTGCTTTCCTTGCGGTAGATCGATCTTTACTTACTGAAACAACTAATGGCTTTGCCGGTCTAACCAAACCTCATAGTACCACTAGATATGCTATGAAGAAGTTGTTAGCTCAGACTGAGCAAGAAGCTGGTAACCTTTCTGAATCTGTTGCAGAACACAAAGGGATTTTGAAAAAGAGGTCGCAGCGCTTGAGGGAGGTAATTAACTCAAGACCTATTGTTTTGTTTTTGTCTTCATAACTTCCATCCTGCATCCATTCAATAATAATAATTGTCTTCATAACCTCTTGAATCTTCTAAAAGTCTTTTTCTTGGATGATGCACTGTGCTAACTGCTGATGTGTTTGTCTGTTGGATTCAGTTATAATAATTGTCTTCATTTCCTCTTAAATCTACACTGTATCAATAATTGTAGGCTTTATATCATGATGGGATCAATCAACTGCCTCACATACTTGTCCTTGGCTGTTTAATTTGTTTCAAGTGGTTGGTAGTCAACGTGTTTACAGTCAAGCTATGTTACTTTGACAGCCTGCTGTACGTCAATTGTTGTGTGTCGGATCCTTTGACACTTCGACACTACACCACACCCAAATTTATATTTGCCTTTATGAAAATTTTAAAATCTGGAGTGTCAGACACACCATGTCGGACACGACACCCGAATCAGAGTCCAGGTAATATAGCAATCAAGGCTAATGCAAACAGTTTTGGTTTTTAAATCTTTGTGGAGGGGCTTTTTTTTAATAGAAATCCGCATAGAATACATTTTCTTGATAATAATCATCCTATTACCAAGGAATTTTCCAATCCATTTTATTTGCTTAAATATGGCAAGAGTTACACAGCTGATGGACTACATGTGGTAGCTGGGTCAGAAATGCACATTTGATACTTTTTCCAGGATTAAAAAAAGATGGTTCACTTCGAGATACAATATATGGACATTTAGTTTTAAAATAATGAGAAGGATGCATGTGCATATGTTTTTTCTGCATATTTTTTACACTAGATGGTCATACTTTTTTTGTAAAAATATACAGCACTTTGATATATACACTCTTCATATTAGTTGGTGATTTATATTCAAGGAAAATTACACGTTTGTGTGGTCTTATTAGATTCGTCTCAATAAAATATGCATTGACAAGTGTGAAAAGATGAGTGTTTCATCTTAAATTTTTTTTAAGTATATTGTTTTTTTGTGCCGGAATATTTGTATGAATTCTGGGAAAATTTAAAAAGATGACCGTTCATTATGTATGATAACCCAAAAATATTGGTGGGTTTTGACTTAATGATTTGGATTGACAAGACTGTGACAATTACTTGATGGTTCTGGTTTTTTCGAGGATGGTTATGAAAATTTGTAGCTAATCATTTTAAAAATAGAGATATAGGATAATGAGGTATGTTTTATCTGGTTTCCTTGACCCTTGTTGGTTAAGTCTTCAATGAAAACATTTACCCAAACTTTTTCCCTGCATTCACTATGAATTTGCTGTCTACAGAATCTTTTGAGAATTTATACTTCCTATATATTTTCTACGACTAATTACTTGTATCTTCATTTTCTTATTTACACAGACATTACAGAACTGTGGATGGGAAGTACTTCCGTCCCAAGGGGGTGTCTCCATGGTGGCAAGGCCATCTGATTATCTTGGGAAGCTTGTTAAACTCGAAAATGATGATGGTCAAAAGACCGAACTTGGAGACTCTACTATTCGAGAAGCCATTTTAGCAGCCACTGGCTTATGCATCAATAGTGGTTCGTGGACTGGAATTCCAGGTTACTGCCGCTTCACAATCGCTTTACAAGAAGATGAATTTGAGCAGGCACTGGATCGCATCGCTAAATTCAAAGATTTCATCGCTTAAGTACTGAGATTATGCCCAAGTTCATTCTTAGCCTACAATAAATGTGCATTAGTATGACTTAGGTGTCATGCTCAGATTTGAGTACATATTCTTGGTTGAAATTCCATGCAGGCAAGAAGGAAAAAAAAATATATGTCAATGGCCTGGTTTAAACTTTCATTCCTTGCTGCTGTGATATGTATTGTTTTTTTGGGTCTGGTTTTTATAGACAGATTTCTAAATATGATGTCCATTGATGTAGGTTTTATTCATAACGTACATAATCTATGCTTTATCCTATTTACTAGCTAAAAAAAAAAAGTTGTCACCTTAATAGACGTGATCAACAATCTTTTAATCAATAAAATACTAGTTTATCTAAAAAAACCCTTAAAATATTCTCTGTTCTCTCTTTAAACCTAGCCACCGTAGGAAATCTTAGTGGTTGCCATCGATTTTATTGATGATAAACCCTAAATCAATAATTTAATACTAAAACAGACATCGGGAGTGACATGTGTTACATCCTGGTGCTGCTTTTTTCCCTTCAAAACTCCCCTTCCCTTTTTATCATTTTTTTTTGTTAACATTTGATTTTATAATATCATTCTAAATCTTTTATATTATATCTTTATGACAAATATATTCCTTTTTACTTGGTATTCATAATTATTCAATACACATTTATCTAAATAATTATTCCGACTCCTTTTTAATTATCTTTTAAATGGAGTATTATTAGATTTTGCCAAAAAAAAAAGTAATAATAAATTAATTCTAGATGTTAAAGAAATGACTTTAAAACACCACTTATTTTTTTTTAATTATCTTTTTTTTTTTTTTTTACAAATACCTCTAGCTAATATTATATATCAATTTCAAAATAACTATATTTTTAAATTAATTACAATTTTGTTTCTGAAAATTTACTACTACGTATATATTATCACAAATTAAGGATTTATAGAGTATATTATAACAATAAATTAAATGCTATGTTTGACAATTATATTATATGTCTAATTTTAGGGAAAGGTAAAATAACAATTAATTAATTTTGTAAATTACATAATTAAAAAAATCAATATCTTAGTAAAAGCAAAAAAAAATTATTATCTTTTGCCGAGACACTTGATTAAGATGATAAATTTATCACATCCGACATTCATAAATAATTTGCATAGTGAAAGACACGCCAGATGTAGATAGTGACAATTGACATCTCCTTTTGTATTTTTTTTTTTTTTTTGATATATATCTATTATCTACAATTAAACTTTTAAGACAATGAAAAAAAATTATTAAGCTACAATTATTGGATAGCTTCAAACACAATTTTTTATACAACAAAGAATGAGGATATCGTATATGTAGAGCATCAATCCATAAACAGAACATGTAGTGTGTGTGTACTTTTGCTAATGGTTTTAGTGGAGATTTTAGTCTATTCCTTGATTAATTTTTGATATTTAATAAAAAGGCTTTTATAAATAAGTAAATATTAATATGGCCACTAGACCTGATCAAACCAATCCCCTTGCTTGAAAAAAATTTCGGGTTTGGGTAGCCCAAAAAGTCCATTTTTGTTTTATTTTTTTCTTTGTCTATTAATATTGATTATGACATTATAATTTCTATATATTAGATGTGTATGTTTTATCAAATTTTAATTGTTGGATATAATTAATTTTCTTAAAAAAATTAGACTTACCGTGCATGGTACGGGCCTTAAGCTAGTTCTGCTTTAATTTTATATTTTTAGCCAATAAATTTCACCAATAGTATGGTGATTGTAGTCAGTCTCTTCATGTAGGGTTTAATTGGTTTCCTGATGGTGGGATTTGTAGTATGGGTTGTTTGTTTGTTTTTCGTGTGTGCAGAGATACAAATTTGGATGATTCGTCTTGTAAATTTGTAGAATTGCGGGTCTGTTAGTATAGGGGTGTAGATTTAAAAGATCTGTCTTGTAAATTTGTTTATCTTGATGACTAATCAAGTTTATCACTTTTGCGACTATACATCAATGGAGCTCTGTCAAGAATAATGCAAAGACGTTTAAAATTATTCAGGAGCAGTTCAAAATTGATGCCATTAGTTTAGGGGTGTTTAATACAACTTGTATTGAGAATTTAGATCTCTTAAGTGATGATTGTAAGTACTGAATGACTATTAGTACTATTTAATAAAATCACCCTCCCTATTTCATTTTAACAAAAAAAATAAAAAAAATACATCTTTATCTCGGTGAATTTGTTTTATCACGGATTCACGTGGGTAAAAGTTACATAGGCAAAACTGCTACTTGCCTTGAAGTAGCGGTTTTGCTCTGTGATAAACAAAACTTGTTTATTACAGAACTTGATTATGGCAGCCTCCTTTTAATCTTGAAAGCAAATAGTAAAATGAGTATTTTCTCTGTATTTTATTACTTGCTCTACTTTCTTTTTGTGTCTGTATTTTATTACTTGCTTTACTTCCCTTTTCAGAAACTTTTAATAATATTTTACTATTTTTCTCTCTACCAATGGTTCCATCATATTATATTTTAATTAATATTTTTCATATTCTCTCTCCTCCCCACTTATACTCCGCTTTTTAAGATTTTTTTATTCTTCAATCAACCCCACTTTTATCATATTTAATTACTTTCTCTATTCCTCCTAAAATTGGAGTAAGTAATAAAATACGGAGAGAGTACAAACTTTGGATGCAATTTACTATGAAGAGAAAGATTCTACTGTTTTCATTTAATAAATTAATCACCCATAGGCGTTGATTGAAGTGGTCCTACATTAGCATGTTGTGAATATGTTTGACAATCATAAGAAGTTGGATTTGACATTACACGATTAGGGAGGAAAAAGTAGGGAGCTGCTAATAAGTTTTTAAGAAACTTGTAAGCCATTTATGGATCATTTAAGGCAACCACGAAAAGAGACAAATCGAAAGGAAATAACGATTTGATCCATGAGATTAATAACTTCATAGTGGCCTTGAACCATAACTGGATGTTCGGAGATGATGGTACGAAATTGAGTCAAAAAGTCAATTTTGCTCGTATTAGTCTCTACTTGATTCTTATAGCGACATGTATTAATTGCAACTCAAAAGGCATACAAACAAGATATAGTTCGCTCCAAACTAATAAATCTAAATTGGTTGCATATTTAATGCAAACATAAATTTAACTATATATTGTTATCACTTGAATTAAACAACATGATTACTGGGGACCTAAACCGGTTGTTCAAATTATCTTATTAAGCGTGATTTCCAATTACGGATCTTGATTGAAACATGAAATATGGTGATAACAACAAAATAGGATAGTCATTCATAAATATAAGAAACAACTTGACAATAATTAAACGAACAGATAACGCATCCTAAACATGACACTAGAAAAACTTAATACACTAGACGAATAAGATAAAAAGGCACCGGTTCAAACCCCCCCTTTGGCACCGGTTTTGAACCATTGGGTATTTGAGGGATGCCAAATCCATGAAAATTTGGCACCGGTTCAAAACCGGTGCCAACTAAAGCATTTGGCACTAGTTAACCGGTGCTAACTACCATGGCGCCATTTTTTTTTTTTTTCAATACTATTGGCACCGGTTCAAAGCAAGAACCGGTGCAAAAAACCCCACTGAGGCACCGGTTCTTCCGTTGAACCGGTGCCAAAAGTGAAAAAAATTATAAAAAAACTTTTGGCACCGGTTCTGGTCAAAACCGGTGCCAAAAATACCCCAAAAAAATAATTTTTTTTTTTTTATTTTTTTTTTTTTTGCATTTTTTCACTTAAATTGATATAGAAACATTAACATATATATAAAGTTACATATTTTCCTTAAAAAAGGCTGTAATATTACAATTTTCGTCCAAAAAAAAATCAAAGCAAATAACAAAAATATCTAAGACCAGCTCCACACTAGCAGCTGAACAGAGGAAGAAGGAACCAGCCAACACACTGCGCCGACCCTCAAGCCCAGCAAGACAGCAACAGCAGCCAAAAGCAGGCACATAGCACCAGGCAGAGAACAGCACAACAGCAGCCAGAGTAAACAGAGCCTGAAACAGCAGCAGCTGGCAAAGCAGAGAAGGAACCAGCAGCAGCAGTGCACAAACAGAACCAGCAACAGAAACCAGACAGCAGGAGGACCAGAAACTAGCAGTCCTGCTTAAGGTAACACAGCATCCAGCAGCTATACACGTGTATTTTTATGATTTAAAAAATGGACTAAAATAATCCCTCGAATTTGAGGATTGTCTAATTGAAAATGCTAATGTGTAATTTTCTATACAGTCTCCGAGGCACCTGCACTGCACATCACACTTCCACTTAATAACACAATACTAAAGATTCATGGCAGTAGGTTAGTTTGATGCTCGTAACGAGCTTCAACTGTGGATGGATGCTCTTAAGGCTAAATAATGTGCTTCAGATTTCGTAACTCGAAACGGATAGATCTTTCAAAATTTATGTCATTTAGATACTGAACTGAACTGAACACTCTTAAGGTTAGAGAAATATATTATCTTCAAAGAAAGCTCTTCAAAGCACTGTGCCACATTTTCTTGAGTTTTGCCTTTGTATTTATAAAATAGAGAACCAAAATGTTATGCAAGAGCAATCCCTTCTTCCTTAGTCATAACTCTTTCTGAATCTCAAAATAAAAATTATCAAGAACAGTGAGTTACCAATATCTAACAAGCATCAATCTTTCAATATAAATATGGGCAAACCCTTTTATCTACTAGGTAAATTAGCCAACTGTTACGAGGATTTCTTAGGAAAAAAATAACTCTGAGACATATGTGCAAAAGAATAAATAAGCAAGCCAAGGTATAAACTAGAAGTGTTAATGTAGAAATTAAATTGTTTAGTATCAAAAAATACCGTAAACAAATTGCATTGCGGATGGCATCATCAATACAACACATGAGTTACAAACTAGAAGATAAAAGTATCCCAAAAGCTAGAACACAATCCCAAATCTACTGTCCGAAAACAGGCACTATATAACAGAACATTCCTAAGTTAGATGCTTACCAATAAAAATAGTTGACCACAATTTTCTTTACAACACTCATCATCATAAGATGCAAGTTATTCCCATAATGATACCTTGGATCAATTCATAATTTAGTATGAAAAATAACAATATACGAAGTAATATAATCAAATTTAATCCAAATAAAAAGAGAAAATAATAAAAACTAAAAGTGATGAACATTACAGCTTCAATACAATGCTGAAAAGCTAACTTCTGCACTTAAGAGTCCTGAGACAAACCTTTAGCCACCCTTTAACATATAACACCCAACATTAAACTACATTTCAAAACATCATCTCAAAGTTTGCTCATATATTGCACCTATACAACCAAAAAGCTTAGTGAAACAAGTGCCAAGTCTAAACAAAAATATATATACAAGTATATATATACCGACATGAGAAACAGAAAATGAGAAACAATACTTAGCTAATTCAAGGATATCCTTCACAATTAGTCCAAACTGATTACACTCCATATACTTCTTCTTCAGATGCATGCAAAGATTGATATATTATCAGACAAAACTTTGATCATATCCAGTCAAGCATCAAGGGCTATCTTGAGATAGTGCCTTGCTGCAAGTGCTTCCACAACATCAACACTGCCACTACCTCTCATAGTTGTGTAGGTAGCAGGCATCACTTCACCCATACTGTCATGCATAACACCTCCCAAACCAATTCTGTCATCCCCGAAGCAACCAGCGTCTGTGTTCACCTTATAGCAGCCAACAACAGGAAATACAGTCAGGGGGTAGACACAGCAGGGCAGCAAAAAAAAATAACCTCATTAGCCAACTCAACCCCCCCCCCCCCCCCACCCCCACCCCCACCCCCAACAATACCAACAGCTTTCCTGATTACATCAAACCCAAGATATCTTTTTGTTTTCAAAAACCTAAGTATTCTTTCTTAGCCAAATACCCCACAAGAGATTCCAGAAAATGTTCCACCAAGTATTTTCATTAGACACTTTTTCAAGTGACATACACCAATCCCACACATAAGTTCATAAGACCCAAAAACATGACTTTACAAAAATGAAATACCCCATCAGAAATACCTCATTAGTTATTTCTTGCTTAACTTCGCCCATATATAAATCGGCACAGCTTCAGATCTGCATATAACACAAATCACTAACCAATACACACTTGTCATAAAATTTTAACTTATTAGAATTAATAGTGAATCTATATCTTCATTATAGTTAAATAGTGCATACAAGTAAACGAATCACTTGTCATTAACCCCATATGTATATAGTATACATGGACTACAACTCTATTACTCAATAAAGACCAAATCTCCTAACATTTTTGAAACAATGTCAATCATAAAAAAACCATCAATGCTTCCATGCCTGCATTTCTAATTGTCCACATTGTGAGAGTTGCTGCAACAGAAATTTACTAGCTAGTGCTTGCCTATTAGGTAAACAAAAGTTCCAAATTATGGGATGAAAAATCACACATCAAATTTGTAGTGGCCTATTATTTTGAATACAATCTCATGAGGGCAAATTATAAATACATACATTGTATGCCATTTGATTTAAATTTAAAACAATAATCTACTAATTTTATAATGTTGCCTAAAAATACACTGTATGCCATGAAGTAAATTCTGAAGCTCTTAAATAACCTTAAGTTCTTTCACCAATGTTTGTAGAAGAGAAACAACAAGCTCTACTCAATTTCACTTATAATAATCATAATAATCATATAAAAGTATAAAAATAGCTAATAGGTACTACAGTAATTACTAGAATTACCTACATTGTACTAATCATTATAATGGCATTCTGGTAGTAATATTGAAAAGAACTACAATTTCAATACCCAAAAACACAATCTTTAAAACAACATAGACGTGAAAAATTATAAAACATTGTAACCTTGTATGATGATTATAGCATACATCTCTAGTATATATTATCTAGGAAGCTCAGAAATATAAAACTAAAATTCTAAAAACTAATATAGATAAATAACATAAAACACAACTCTACATGTATCTATCTATTACCGACCACCTGGACATAGTTGAAAACTAACTATTTTCCACCCTTAGTTAAATAATGCAATAAAGTTTTACCAAAATTATGTTTTAACATGAAAAGAACGAAAAGAGAAGAAAAAATCAATATAAGCAAAAAATTCATATAAATATATATATATATATATATATATATATATATATATATATATATATATATATATATATATATATATATATATATATATATATATATATATATATATATATATATATATCGAGCATCTAAGAGCAATTTGCAATAAAGTATTACACGAAGAGAAAGATAAAGAGAATAGATTAACCAATTCCAGAGTGCTGGTGCTATTTTAAAAATGAGGTAGTGAAGATGGCAATGATCTTTCTCCAATCTGAAAGGGAGAGCTTAACAAATTGAAGAGAGAAATTGCAGGAAAACCCTAAATTAATTGGAAGCACATTAGCCAGCAGCACAATGAGTTATTTTTTAACATAATCGACTTGAGTTCGAGTTCGCAAAATCATCAATACACCAAGTTGTAAATTAGATTTCTTTCTCAAATAATCGAAATTGACAGAGAAATGATACGTAGAAATAAAGAAAAGTTAATCCTGCAAACAAACAAGACTTAATCACTCAAATAAATATCAAACACATCTACAAAAATCAATTACGCTATAACAAATTAATGAAGTAACTTTTCCAGCAAAACAACCCAATTAAGGAAATTACAACTAACACAAATAATTAGCGAAATTGATATTCATTGATTAAAAAACTTCATTGATTAAAAAACATTACCTCAGAAGTTGTTTCAATGGAGGAGAAAGCTCAGAACTGCTACAATATAACGCAAAGCTAAATAACCCAGAAACCCTAACCTCGAATTTCTGATTTTTGGTTCGAAATTGATTCGAATTTGTTGTTGTCGAAGACACACGCACATGATTGATTCAAAATAGACGCACCCAGAAACCCTAACCTCCAATATTGTAGAAAAAGAGAAGGAAAAGGAGAAGGAGATCGAAAGAAAGGAGAAAGGAAAGGGAAAGTGGCGCTTATGGAGAAGGAGATCGAAGGACAGAGAAGGAGTGTTAGGAAAGTGCTGAGAGAAAGCTCAGAAGCCCCATCAATGGAGATATTCGAATACGCTACAATGGAGGAGAGAGAGGAAGATCAGATGAGAAGCGGAAAGATCAAGGAAATGAAGAAGAAAACGCGCATTATAAACCGGGCTTTTTTTTTTTTTTTAATGGCACCAATTCAAATCGGTGCTAATTACTATAGTTGGCACCGGTTTAAGGCGAACCGGTGCCAACTCTATTGCTTTCCTTGGTTTTTTTTTTTTTTTTTCTTAAAGGTTGGCAGCGGTTTGAACCAGTGCTAATTAAATAAGTTGGCACCGGTTTTGGTTGGAACCGGTGCCAACTCCCTATTTTCCAATTCCGCCCATTTCTTTTGGCACCGGTTTTCAAGAACCGATGCTAAAGGGGGGGTGCCTATTTGATTTTTTCTACTAGTGATACAATCCCTAGGCATCATGATACCGATAATTGAAATCAATCTAGCAGGAACAAATACAGTAGAATCTATTAACTGAAAAAATAATTAAGTCTACTTACGTTGATTGTGACCCGTTTCAACATCAGAAAAAGAAGGCAAAATTGGCCTCAACAATACAAACTTTTACCAAGGTGCACGTAGTACCATGAACTATGAATAGTAGACGTAACAACACCAACTTTTAATTCGAGTGCACTAAATACATAGATGAAATCCAGGTACAAAGATTTTTTCGAAGACGTGAAATCTTTAATATTTTATGAACTTTTTGCAAATTTTGACATCATATTTTCCTTAAGGTCCAAATCGATCAAAGACATTAACCGAGACATTTTTATAGCACACAAATCGATGCGTTTTGGTAAATTTTTGCTTAATTGATCTCAAAATTGTCCCATGCAAACTAAAATGACTCTGAAAACCTTGTCTCATCATTTTTTCCGCATGCAAATTACATATCCAAGACGATTTTTTATGATAATATATTATTAGATATCCTATCTTTGACAAAATCTTTGGTGTCGAGTTTCATTTATGATATTTTGTGCACCCAATGAAGAAGTTTGTGTTATAGCTACTAGTCAAAGTTTATGCTGCTACATGCACCTTGTTAAAATTTATTGATGTTGAGACCAATTTTGCTTAAAAAGAATGTTAGTAAACTTCAATAAAATCAATAAATCAAATTAAAATAAATCAAACCAAATTAAGTTTAAATTGAAACCCTTAAGGTTTTGTCGACCTTTCACGTCGTGGACCATCGACAGAGCTTCGAGTCTAGTATTGATGCTAGTAGCACTTGGAGGAAGAATTGTTGAAGATTAGGGAGATGAAATATTAGAGAAGAGAGAATATGAGAGAAAAAAACGGTTCCCGTAACTCTCAAAGGCCTACAATATTTATAGAATTGAAGGCTGCAAACAAGATAGAAAATGTAGAAAAGCTGGCACGACACCGAAACATCTGGCATGACACGTAAGAACCTGGAGCGACATGCCAATCTATGGCGCGCGCCATCCAAGAGGAATTTCGGAATGTTCTTTTTTATACTTTGCTCGTTTTGTAACGAAATTTATCCGTTTGGCTCGTTATTTTACACATATTAAGAGTTCTAGAATTTCCTAGTAAGCTTGGATTGGTTTATGGTTTAAACAATTATGGATTTGGCTTACAAAAATCAATGGAAAGAAATAGATAAAAAAAGATTGAGTTTGTAATGAAATTAAAGATAGGCTTATAAAAAGCAAAAATAATATAAACTGGGTTTTTAAATAAAAACAAAATACTCTTTTGATCTAACACTCTACTCAAACCAAATGGCGATGAAAGGTTTTCACACATTGGTTGGGGAGATGCCCCCATGTTGACTGAGTTTGTAGAGATGTAAGTCTCGAAAATAAAAGTTAAAGTAGGCGATAGGGACGAAAAATGATTTAAAACGTTACGCAATTTTAAACCATTCAAAATACGCCAATACCTACATAAAAGTGTTAATTCAATAGATAAAAGAGTAAAAGGGATAGAATGCGTATCTAATACCAGTACGTCGGCACCAGATATGTTTGGTAGCTTTCTACACCCCGATAAATTTACAAAATGTTGACAATTCACCGCGCCGGCGGAACATTGCCAGATTCATAGATAACGATTCACTAAGCCCATAGGACATCGCCTGGATGTTGACGATTCATTATACTTGTAAGACATTATTATCGAAGAGATGGTTGACATGCAATTCACTGCGTCGCAAGACATTGCTATATAGATCACGCACCTCAGTGCCTCGAGAAACCCGCAACAAAGATGATCCACTATGGACATTGGACATCGCCAGCTAGATAACTGACAATTCACTACGCCTGTAGGACATTGCCAGGTGATGAATAGTAATTCACTATGCCCGTTGGATATTACTAGATAGATCACGAACCTTTTCACCTTGAGAAGCCCGTAACAAAGACGATTCGCTATGCCCGCAGGGTATCATTGGATAAATGACTAACAATTCACTATACCCCTAGGACATCGCCAAGTGATGAATAGTAATATATTACACTCGCAGGACATTACTGGTGTATTGTTCGATTGTGTCCGAATAGAAGCAATGGTGGGGCTCGATTGTCTTCGAACAGAAGCTGTAGATGGTGTTCGATTGTCTCCCCTAATAGAAGATGTAGAAAGCGTTCAATTGTCTTCGAACAAAAGTTGTAGAAGGTGTTTGATTGTCTCCGAACAGAAGGGCAGTGAAGGTGTTCGATTTTCTCCAAAAAAAAAAAGCAAATGTGAAGGTGTTCGGCTGTCTCTCTAAACAGAAGCGATGTAAAGGTGTTTGATTGTCTCCGAACAGAAGCAATTGTGAAGGTGTTAATTATGTTGACGATGATTATGACACTACAAGAAAATTTATCTATAGGCAAAACTTTGAGCCAAATACTTTTGCATAGCCTCTAAAAGATATATTTAGCATCAATTAAACTATGATTACCTCTAAATGTTATTTTTAGCATTAGTGGATTAGAGGATGCCCCTTAATGTTCTTTTTAGTATCAATAAAATTATTGTCTCTAAAAGTTAGTTTTAGCATTAGTGAATTCAAACTTGCATCTAAAAGTTCATTTTTAACATTAGTGAAATGTGCTTCTAAAAGTTAATTTTAGCAATAATTATTTATATGTTGCCTTTAATAGTTTTTTTTAGCATTTTTAAAGAGTTATTTTTAGTAATAGAGAAATCACGGTTGCCTCTAAAAGCTTATATGTTGCACCTAAAGTATTTAATATTAGTGATATTATAGTTGCTTTTAAAAGCTATTTTTAGCATTAGTGCAATTTACATTGCCCGGAAAAGTTTATTATAATCAATATTAAATTTACAACTATCACATGGAAAATTTACTTTATTAATTGTACTTACAGATTCGTTTCGTGTGAAGTTCATTAAAACAAAGGCTTAGTATTTCTGTTGAATGTCTAATTTTTACTCATATTTGATTATCCCTCAGCTAAGTGTGTAATTCATATACCCACCTTGCTTATTAGATGAGTCTATTGTATACACCGTTCTACAATTTATAATGTCATAATTTTTTATAAGTTATAGTTTTCTCTTTTTTTGTTTTTTTTTGCCAAAAAAGTAATAAGCTATCTTTTTTTTTCTAAGTTAGTGTGAAAGTATACTATAATAAAATCCCTTAACATGTTTTAAATTCTTTTAACAAAAACATCGGTGTATAATCAGTATATATATATAAATTTTATTGTACAACGACCATTTATAAGATAACTATTAACCAATTTAGGTTAATTCTTATTGTAGATTAGGATAACTATTAGTTTTTCATTATAAATTGGAAGCTAAATTTTTAATGATAAATTTTATAATGGGATATATGATTACTTTTATTCCGTATGAGTGATATACATATGCTGTAAATCGTTTAAAAGGAATAATTGTATGTGTAAAAATAGGTGACTTTCATTTCTTATTAAGGTGAAAGTTGATTATTGTTGGGAAACTTTACATTTGATGTACAATATATGTATTGCTCACCATATTTTTTTTAATTAATTTTTTTCTTCTTTTAAACGGCTTATGATATTCAGTTAACTTAGTAATTGATAATTCATGATTTGATTACCGGAATAGATCTGTAAGATCTGGAAAAAAATAAAATTGTATGGATACGTTATTGTAACAAACTAAGTTATCGTTTATAAGCATGGAGTAATTTTTGTTTTCAAATTATTATTGTTGTTTAGAATTAAATAACGAGTTCGCTCGATTTGACGATATTCGAAATAGGTTATCAAGACAATGTCTTGGATAATGAAATACCTACTAAGTGAACGTTGAATGTCACACCGAAATTATCCCTAATTGAGGTAATTTAAAAGATGGACGATTAATGACCAATATAGATTAGTGTGTAGTATGGTTTATAGCGTTGTTTCGTGTGCTTGAAGGACATGAGAATTTCATAAATCATTTGCACATGTATTAGTTTGGAACTATACTAGATTGACCTATGAGATACCTTAAGAGATATAAATTGTCATAAGTATTTATCTCATTAAAGCTATTGAATTGGTAATTTTTCTCAACCATGAATATTTTAAGTTTACTTGTTTTTAAGTACTAGTTTGTTTTGACGTTGTCAAACGTCGGCCCGTAAAGGGGATTACAAAGGCAACACTTAGGCAACTATGTCTCATAGTAAGTGAAGCTTAGCAATAAAAGAATGAGAATGTCCACCCATCAAAGATGGGGAATATATCTTTGTTGTTAACAAGGCCGCTCGAAGAGGGAGACTGTGAAAATGTTGGATGTGCTCAGATTGATTAGGGATAATCATCTGTACTCAACATTCAAACTTAGGAATTCGAGAAACACTTCTAGACGTAATAAGGATGACGATGAATCTTACCTTATAGTTCAAGATGAGGCATTAAGTGACATAGGAAAGGGCAATACAAAAAACGCATACTTGTCCCGAAGGACAAGTAGGACAAGTGGGAGATTGAAAGGAATGGTGTCCTTCGAACAAGTGTATTTGTCCAATAAATGGTTCAGAACTAATTAGGGAGCTAATTATTAAGTGAAATCAAGTGTTCAGAATGCCTAGATGGAGGCCGCTTCTAATCAGTAAGAATAATATAATTAATCTCACAGCTTGCTATTGATTGAACCTAACAAACCGGGTTATACCCAAGCACAAAATCAAACCATAAAGACGGATTATGCCTGAAGGCCAAAATACGTCTATAAATACAATTTTGACTAAAACATTGGTATTTGAGCTTGGAGCGTCAAAACCAAGTGTTAAACATGCATTAACTCAATCAGAAGGATCGACTAGAGGAAAAAATATCGAGCGAAACAACGTGCTAGGTTTGTATGCCTAGCACGAGGCCTTGCCGCACCATGCGCATGGGGGCGTAAGCTTGCTGCCGCAAGCTCATGCTAGTGAAGTTGTCAGCGCACAAATGCCTAGCGAGCTGTTGGCTTGTGCATGGGATGGTAGCATGCCCTTGCATTGGTCGCAAGCTGGCA